CCCTTGGGACACGGTCGAACGCCTTCTCCAAGTCCACAAAACACATGTAGACAGGTTGGGCGAACTCCCATGCACCCTCGTCCGCAATTACTAGCATAAAAAAATCTCCGGTCGGGCCGCAATGCATTATGGGATATGCTGGGCCGGGAAGGATCCATCGGACCTGTCCTTCGATTCGGGCCAAAGGAAGGACGTATTTGTCGGACGCATCGGAGGAGTCTTCCGTTTTGGACGTCCTTCGTCGCGGCGCTGTGACGTATGAGGACGATGAATTCGACCTTCGGAGGACCCGTCCTGCCGTTTTGGACACAGCCCAGGTCATCCTTTAACCAGAATGCTTTGCGTGTAAATACAATGGCTCCATCTGTGTTAAAATTTATTTTTAAAAATTTACAAAATTGAACAGCCTACAGTATTTTTACAGTCTTTATTCTACAGATAAAATATATGTTATCAAATAAAGTCTAATGTTACAACTAATCAGGGATCCCTTGAACAATATTTGACTTGCTCAAAGTTAAACAATGCTAAAAGCTAGGTCAAAGCTAAAAGTAGCAAAAAAAAGTGAACCAATAATACGGAGTGCAGCACATTATACACTCGTCTTAGCCTGGCCCTTCCCTTCCTACGCAGCTCCGCTCAATTCTAGTTTCCCTTCACTGCTCCGTCTGGGACTTCTCCCATTGAGATGGATTTCGCTGGCAGATTTTTAGCCGGGCCAATCAGAGAACAGAATGTCAATTTTCTGTGCAGTGTCTGCTTGTAGTTTATTTTACCTGGGCCAATCAACAAACAGAAGGTGGAGTTTTGAATGATGTCGATGTTCTGCACAGTGTCTGCTAGTTAGTTTAGCATACAGCAGTGGAGGAAGTGAATGAAGCCAGTCTGTGTTGATAAGGCTTCCAAATTAAAATAAATTAGTCTGACAAAGCAGCAGCTCTCATTTACAGTCGTCTCGTTCAGCTCGGTACTTCTCTCCTCTCAGTAGGGTTGTTTACAGCACACGCGATTGCCGGTTAGCTTCTTAGCTTAGCCTCCATCACAGCGACATATGTTGCAGCCAACTGATCCAATCATTTTAAACTTCAGCAGAGGCCACGCCTCCTTCAAGTATCACATCTCTATGCATCAAGTCCAGACCCTTGTACGAAGCAAAGTGAAGGACGAGGGTCTGGTTTTAACCAGGCTACACTCGTCTACAAACTCTCATACAACAATCTATAGCAATGGGTGGGACAAGCAAAGGCCTTGTATAAGCTTTGACCTTGACTTGTGACCCTGACCTTGACATACGGTATGTATGCTACACTCTGTCTACTGCTGTATATGTGAATCAAGTTTCATTCACTGAGAATGAGAATTAATTAACTGAGTAAGTCAGAAGTTATGGGCGGGACAAGATACAAAAATATAATGATAAAAACCTAAATAAATGTTCTGGGTTTGCTGGCCAGTGTGGCAGACACCTTTCTTTGCTTTATTAGCAATAGATTTTATATTTTCTACAGCAAATGACTCACATCCACTTCATTCTGTTGGTTGACTGCTTATCGATCAGATTGATGCCCTGCAGCACGTTGGTGATGTCATAGACTCTCCGCCGACGGGTTCTCAGGCTCGTGGTCGCATGTCGGAGGTCCAGCGAGCCGTCCGGTGCCTTCAGGAACAAATCCAGGAAGCGACGGGTCAGAACTCCCAGAGACACATCTGAGAACATAAAAACCATTTACAGCTAAAACCCAGTTTCACCTGAAAGTGGCTCACATTGGGCCTCATGCAAGAACCGTTCTACGCACAGATTTGTTCTTAAGTTGTGCGTACGAGTGATTTAGGAGAATTTGTGGCATTCACCAATGT